CCTTTTGTGGCCACACACCCCAAATCCCACTGCCGACGAGTTAATTAACTCAAAGTGACCCAATCACTCACTTACTGCCATCAAGTTGATGCACTGGGGCCCTGTAGGCTTTCTGAGGCTGCAAATCTTTATGAGAGCAGAAAGTCTCCTCTTTCTCCTGCAGAGCAGCTGGTGGTTTTGAACTGCTGATCTTGCTGGTTAGCAACCCAATGAGTCATCAACCCACCATCAAAAAAACCAAACTCAGTGCCATGGAGTCAACCAACTCCCACTCACAGTGACGCACCCCAGGGGACAGGGGAGACCTGCCCCGGCGGGTTTCCAAGACCATGACTCTTCACAAAAGGCGAAAGCCTCGTCTTTCTCCAGGGAACCAGCTGGGAGTTTCCAACTGCTGACCTGGCAGTTAGCAGCCTAACACGTAACCACGATGCCACCAGGGCTGCCCTGCCTCCGCCCTGACCCTAGTCACCCCTATCAAAGACTCCAGTGTTCAGGTCTGTACCCTCAGCTCCAGCCCCAGCCCACCTCAGTGGGGTCACCAGGTGTCGATGTTTGCAGCCCTCCTAACCCCAACTAGTCCGGAGGTCTGAATATGGGGGATACGGGAAACCCCCTCCTCAGGCTGACAGCTGGCCCCTGGCTGAGCAGTGGCTCCCAGCATACCTCCTGTTTCCCCTGGGCTGACAGCCCTCTCTTCCCGTCCCACCCACCCCACCCCTACCCCCCAAACATAGACTGTCAGCAGCTCTGGATCCAGGACACCTCTGGGCCCACCATGCCAGTTCTCTCTCTGCCCGGGGGCTTTCCAGCAGCATTCCCAGCAGCCTCCTGGGAGCCTGCGAGGCTGCAGGGGGTGGTCTTGGTCCTAGTGCCCTAAGCATGGTGAGAAGGCCTTGCCTACCATCCTGGGCTCACAGTCAACACCCCTGGTCCAGCCTCTCCTCTGGCCCTTAGTCCCCTGCTCCCTTCCTTCCCTGCTGCCACCCGGAAGTGGCTGCCTCTCATTCAAATGGACAGCCCAGGGGAGGGCTTCATGTCCCTTCCCAGGTGGGGTGGATGGGTCACAGAGGACAGTCACCACCCAGCTCTAGGGCAGGGGGTCATCCCCCTCAAGACACTGATGAAACTGAGGCTCAGAGGCAGTAAGCTGCCAAGGCCGGGGGAGGAGGGTGGGAGTGCTCCAGGCTCAGACAGGGGGGATGGGGGGGCTTAGCAGGTCTGCACCAGCTTGAGGTATGCACACAGTTTGTCCCACACATCACAGTCCCGCCCCTTTTCCCACCCTGCAGATGAGAAGCAGGAAGCCTCTGGGGCCCAGCTGCCTCTGCTCTGCCCGGGAACCCCAAGGGGAGTGGCGCCTGGTCTCCTGGTCACACTGAATGCCACCTGGTGAGGGGTCTTCGGGCCACCTGGAGGGGAAGCCAGCCTGGCACGGAAGCGAGAGGTGGCCGAGGCAGACAGGAAGGAGCCCAAGTCAGGAGCTGCTGTCCCCAAGGCAGACAGGCAGGCCTCTCGAGGTAAGAGCCTGGGAGAGATGCCACACCTGGCCACACAGGGAGCTGGCACTCCCTCACCACCATCCCTGTGTCCTCCACTTGGTCCAACTGCAGGACCTAGTGCCGGGGAGCTGCCCCTGGCTGGGGACCCCACTCTGCTCTTCACCTGAAAGTCCTCCGGGTCAGAGAGGGAGGCAACCATGAGGGAATAGGCTCCAACCTCTGACATGGGACTAATCTCAAGGCCCTGGAAGGTGTCCCCTGCAGTACTCCAACCAAGCCTCAGCTGCTCCGTCTACAATAGGAGGTGCCAAGGCCTCACTTCAAGGGCTGTCCAGAACCACAAAATGGAACTGGGTTGGGGCGGGAGCACTCCCTGTGGTGAACTGTGGGTTCTGGGCACCCTGTGAGGTGTGTAAATGATGGACGTTGGACACCCTATGAAGTGGGGGAACTGTGGGTGCTGAGCACTCTGAGATGGGTGAACTGTGGGTGCCGGGCACACTCAGGCTTCCAGGGGTGCTCTTGGACCCGGCCCCGTGGGGCACGGCCGCGGGTCAGGGCGGAGAGCAGGGAAAGCTTATCTGGCGGCCTGTCATTCCCCTGACCTTTGCTCAGGCTCAGTGGGTTTGGAATAGCAGCCCTGTAAGTGGTCCCGCCTGCGGCCTGAGCACCGGCTGCAGATAAAAGACCTCTTCAGGGACCACCCCTGCTCTGCCCTCCCTTTTAAACCAACAAACATAACTAGCAGGGGACAAGTCTGGATTAGAGAAGCTCAAAATCTTAATCCTGGCTGGCTGAGGGCCGGTCTCCCAGGGACAGTGAAGCGGGGACAGGCCACAGTGGGGGGGAACAGAGAGAGGAGAGGAAGGCAGAGGAAGAAGAAGGGACTAGGTGGCAGGTGGGGATGGTGGAGAGTGGAACAGCTGAAAATTATTTGGCTTGACCAAAGGGGCTAGAGCTGGTTGTCCCACCCCCCAGCCCAGCCAGACAACCTGGTCATTTGCATATGCATGCACAGGCCCACCAGCCAGCCTTGCCTGCCTGGAATATTGATGGGGTCCTGCCCAGCCAGGCCACCTTCTGTCCCAGGGGCCCTGGCTGGCTGGAGTCCCATGATCCCCTCCAAGGAGGCCCTTATGCCATCCCCCTCCCCAGCAGGTGCAGCCACACACTTGGCTGGGGCAGACCAGGTGAGCCGTTTCTAGGTGCCCAGAATGGCTCACTGGAAGTCTGGGAAAAGCTGTCACACAAGAGATCCTGACAGGGTGAGACAGGGCAGGGGTGATTCTCAAACTTGGCTCTGAGGCGGCCAGAACTCGGAACTTGAGTCCACCATGCTTGGAGCAGCAGCTGGTCCATGGTTAGTGGGGCAGCTGAGATTCGAACTGACCCTTCTGGGTACTGGGGTTATCAAGTTATCTGCTACCTGGGGCAGAGATAAGAGAATGGCACCTGCAGGGACAGAAGCATGGGGCAAAGCTGGGTCAGGTGTCACCAGCACCTACTGCTGATGAAAGGCTACAACAAAATATCCACAGGCCCAGGCTGCAAGTCAGCGTGGGGCCTGAGCCCCAGGATGACCCTGGAAGTGACCTCACCCAGGTCAGACATTTCCTTTCCTGCTGGCATCCCAGGCAGCCTTCTGAAGCACCCTGCACCTCCACCTACCTGCCTGGAAAATGGGGATGTTGGTGCCTTGGGGGACAGGGGGCGCTTCTAGGACAATGAGCTGAGACCACGTCCATTAGGTACAAGTTCAGGGCCGGCCTCCATTCTGGGCAACACCCAGCGCGGAAAAGGGCTTTTGACTTTTCACTTCTTGGCACGAAATCCCCAAGTCACATGTGACCTTCCCAGACAAGACTTGAACACAGCCAAGCCCAGCAGTCGCTCAACACTCGGCGAGAGCCCTACCTTTTCCTCTCGCCACCTCAGCCAAGCACTGCTGCCAAAGCTCTCCGTAGACATGGGCCTGTGGGGGCCAGAGGGGTGTGCACGAATTCTTAGGGAAATTCTACACCTCCACCCCGACGGGCCAGCCTGCCCGCCCTGTATCCCGTGTTCATTATTCATTGCCACAAGTGGAACACAGAGCCAGACTCTCATCCAAACTCGGGTGGCGCTGGCCCTGCAGGTGCGCCAGGACACAGGCACTTCCTTGCTCCTGCAGAGCATTGCCCTGGCTAAGTGTCAGCACTGCGGCAGCTCCAAGCTCCACACACAGCACTTCCTCGCCCTGCCTCCAGGCTGGGGCAATCCCCGCCTTGGAATCGAACCTGGGTAAACTGAGGCCCAGGGCACGGAGCCTCCAGGAACCTCCGGGAGAGGAAGCTGGGGGCTGGGACAATAAGCAGTAAGGTGCAATCCCCCCACAGAAGAAATCATCCAACTTTGAGCACCTCCTCGCTGGCCTCAAGGAGCCAGTGGGGGACGGGGTTGGGGGTTGGGGGGGGGGGGGCTGTTACAGAGTTACAATGAGAAACCGGAGTTGTAGATTGAGAATCAGTAACAAAATATCCCTCTAAACCCAGTCCTGCCCTGAACTTGCTTGCCCAGGGCAACAAATAAAGGAAAAACTACTATCCCCACTCACCCTATCCCCATGGGTCCAACCCACCCCAACAGGCCTGCACAGCTTGACCACCACAAAAGCGGAAGCACCTCTCTTGGGCCCAGGTTGTCTTCACTTTGGAAAGAGAAGCATGTAGGCCCAGCACCACTCCTTCTGGGCCAGGAACGCCTTGACAGAGCACCTGAAATAACTGCTTAATCTCCACCTTCCGGCAAATAGTTTAGGCACCACCAAGGGGCACCACCAGAGCTGGTAGCAGAGCCACAAAACGTGTGTACCATCAGGGCAGCCATGCACACTCACACTGGCAGGACAGGTGGACAGAGGCCGGCTGCGCCACTGTCCAGACGCAAGCTAGCACCCAGCCACCTGAGCAGGGAGGGCAGCATCTGAGCATCCCACAGGCCAAAGGTCCTCCCGCCCACACCTGGGTAACAGATGATGGTGGCTCTTCCTGAATGCTGATCCCCCACCCTAGCCCCTACCCCAGGTTTCCAAGGCCACTGAGCCCTGGAGCCCAGTAAGGCACTAGGAAGGAAGCAGCTAAAGTGGGGGAGGGGCAGATCCGTGCCAAGGGCACAAGCCCCAGCCCCAGGAACTTGGAACCTGCAAATGCAGGGCTAGCAGTGGTCCACGTAGGTGCTCTGCGTCGGTTCTGGGACGCTGCTGGGGGGCTTAAGTGCTTGGGAGTGCCTGGGGTGTGGGAAGTGCCTCTACATCCAGCCATAAGGGGTAATCCATTCGCACCCAAGTGGAGAGGTGTGTCCCCCACCCCCCTCCTAGGTCTAGCATGGTGGACGCTAACCGAACTCACAACTCGCACCGGCACCAAACTTTTCTGGGGTCTGGGGGACCCCGGCTTCGGATTCTGGGCCGGGTGGCGGGCCACTCCCTCGGTCACCACCCTCCAGCCCTGGCCTCCTTACCGTGTAGGCCGTTGGGGATGCTGCGGTGGTGCCGCGGCGGTGGCGCTGTCAGGTCGTCCAGGGACCGG